CTGTTCCCAGAGGTCAGGAAAAGCCTCTTTAGTAGAGCAGACTGGGCTGTGCTTATGCCAGGTCATTTAAGCACATTTCTATTGCCAGTCAGATGATACACAGGGTAGTTCATGATTTTGTAATAAACCATGCAGCCTGGACCTTCAGTGTGTGCCACAGTGGGATACAGCACCCGGATTTAAATGACAGTACAATAATTCAGTTACTGTATTTTAATAGTCCACTAATCTTTAAAATATGTGTAAAGGAGTGAGATTATCAAATCCTAATGAATTGTCTGGGTTCTTCCCCATCCTTCGTCTTTTTTTTTTTCATTCTCCTAGACTAGTTCATTCATCTGGACTATCTGTCATTTATTTAGCTCTTGGTGTTGAAATAGTGCCATTTTTAATAAATGGTTTAGAGAGTTTCTCAAAATCTGATTTTATTCCCTTTTTTTTTTTCCATATCCATCTTCATAGAGATAAATTAACCTTTTATCTGAGGAGGAAGTAAACAGAGACAGCATGATTGAAAGATTAGAAAAGACACCATTTCAGCCAGCTATTTCAAGAGTGGTGACTGCGAGTCAGAATTCCTGGGTCTGTCTGAAGCTCTGCTGCTAAGTTACTGTAGGACTGTGGCCAAATCCTTTCCTTTTCCCTCTCTTTCATTTTTTCCTCCCATGTTAATAAGCACTTTGTGTTAACCTAGCATTTTACCTTTTCAAAGGACCATACGAACCTTATAAAAGCAGTGTGATGCACACTCAACTTGCCAGCAGTATTTCTGTTTACATGTTGCTTGTCAGGCACTTACATTTGGAGATTTCCTGTGTTTAACACTTAAATATGACAGCTCAAGGTTATACTAATTCAGGATGAGTGAAGCTACAAAACACAACTCTTGAATATTTTATTTACCCCCCAAATTCTGGTGTAGGTGAAGGGTTACTCTTTCTTCCCTCATATACTTAGAGATCATCTGGGAAAAAAATCTAGAGCAAATCAAGGATTTAAAATTCCCCAAACTCAAGTTTTGGTTAATGACAGTCTTCCAGTCCTGGGAAGTTTGTTCCCAGTCCTGGGAAGTAAACCAGCTCTTCCTAAAATAGTGACTGTTCTGACACTGCTGTGATACAGGGGATGGGAATCTCTTTACTAATGCTTTGCTCTTGCTATGGGTACTTCATTTTATTAGCCCTCCTTCATGTGTTTTTGCTTATGCTTTACTCTCTACATTTATTTTGTGTGTGTGTGTGTTTTGTTTTGTTAGACAAATGTGCTACTTCAAAAAAGACATTTCAAAACCTTTAATCAAGATCATATTTTACTTTCATCACGTGTGTTTATATTATTACAAGCCTTTTGGGTCTTAAAATCCTTTGGTCTACGGATTAATCAGTTTGGCTGATATATAAATGAATGTTTGACTTTAACTCTTTAAAAAATACTGGCATGGGAGAAAAAGCCCTTATCGACGGCACCTTAGAATAACTGCATGTCAAAAAAAGTCAGGGAACAATCAGTACTTTCTCCAATAAAAACTAGGTGCAGGGAGTAGTTCTAGATCCTGTGACCCACTGCATAAAAACAAATCTCCTGGCTGTTGAAAGATACTATCTACCTGAAGTGAAGATACTACACGTATTTTTATTTCTTTTGTTCCTACTATTTGCCCTAGCTGTCATGCTGCACTTCCACACAGCCTTGATATAACTGAAAGTGAAGCCTGCTAATCTGTAATGTGGCAACATGTTAAATGGGAGGTTTTATGGTTAAAAATTAAAGGTAGATGAACACCTAATTCTTCCTGTGGTTATGCAGGCTCAGATCCGTAATGAAGACAGTTCTTGATTTAAACTGCAAGAGCAGAGGATTTTGAATTTATGGCTGCAGGAAGGAAAAAGGATAAAATGTTTCACCAACTATAGGAGTGAACATCCTAACAGTCATCTTCACACTTAACACAATTGTATGTTATTACCTGTCTCCCAGGTGTTTTTTAGAGTCTTTTGGAATAAATCAGTGTAGTTCCACTGTGGTAAAGGAAATTACTTAAATTATTACCAACTCATGATGCAACGTAGGATTTCTAAACTGTCTGACTGAATTTTTAATGCATTTGACTTCCAGCGAGGATTTGAGAATGCTCTTTGAAATAACAGAAGTAAAAATGTTATGAAGACCAAACACTGAAGTAATATCATTTTGGTAAATACATAAAATAGCTGAAAATTGTTTACTTATCCTCCTTTACGAGAACCAAGCTTCTGTGACCTCCGATTAATTTACCATTAGCCTGAACACACAATGAAAGTGAATGAAGGGGCAATTTGGAATGACATTTATCAGCTCTGGAACTGTCGACTTCTATTATTTCCACAAGGCCTTGTATTTCTTGGCTCCAGAGACGGCTGTGCTGACTTGAATGAAGAAGAGCATTCTTACTACCAAGAATAGTTACAGCACAGACAGCCTCATTGCTGGGTGCCTACAATGGAAAAAAACACCTCCCCTGTTTCTAACTCACATTAAATGAGACCAAATCCACTCTTCTATAGTGGACTTGCACAAGACCTTGCCTTCACACCAGGATTAAAAAAAAAAAAGGGAACTAAGGAGGAGCAGGAGGAGGCAAGGAAATAAACTTCATAGCGATAGGATAGCTGAGGGATTGAGTCAAAAGGATGAGACTGGAAAAAAACCTTTCAGCATGAGGATGCAGTTTGGAATCCAAGCTGCCTTTGCAGTGAGTGATACCCATTCCCATCAGTAACTGGCTGCTGCTCCCTATGCATTGGTACTGCTCTTGGTCAGATTTCCAGTGACCAGAGAGCACATTGCAGGTTTTACTACCATTTCTGACACTAATCAGCCCCTTTTCTTGAGACTTAAAACAGAGGTCGAGAATTGAGTGTACATAGAAACTAAACCCTCTTGGATTAAACCGAAACAAGTCTGTGGGCAAGTTGGCTTTGCTTCTGATGCTATCTTCCAGATAGATGACTCTGCTCCTCAGAGATCCTTGTCTGGCACAGGGTCACTGTGTTCGGTTGGTTCATTGGCTCATTTGTACTTAAAACTTTTATGCAACTCTCTCAGTACTGATTTCACAACATTAGAGTTCACTGCTTTGGGATTTTCTTGGTTTTTAACTGAAATTGGGTGAACAGCAGAGCAAGCCCCCCTTCCATTTGGCCAGTAGGTTATTTTATTCTAATTTGATTTTATCTTTAGTTTTGCCTATTTAATACAATGGATTTGTATTTATGTAAAGTAATGAATCCCTTCTTAAAGTGTCAAATGCTGGTTGTACTCGTAACATTTTAACCCTGCTGCTTAGGTCTCCTAAAAGATCAACAGATGTCTGCGTTCTAGGTGCCTAGTTCACTTCTGAGAGTACAAGAGTATAGGCTCCTAATACAAATTTTATGCTTTAATTTTTTTCCCATTTATTTTATGCACGAGGGTGGCTTAGACACCACTTTAAGGATGACAGCTTTGTCCATTATGCCTCTGATATGTTTGTCTGCTATGACTGTTCCAAAGCTATGTAGAAATAATCAAATATAACAAAAGTGCTTTACTTAGAGCTTGCTTCTTTAAGCAATGGAAAAGTTATATGATGGTGCTTTGCAGAATTGTCTTGTGTTTGTAGATGTATATCTACATCATACTTCCACAAGCAATAGGCAACTATAAAATTCCTTCTTTACTGCAGCACACCACCCTCTGTGGAAAAGAATCAGTGTTATATGATAGTAGTCAGAGATACCTTAGTGGTAACAGTAAAACACTCAAACATTACGAGTCTAATTCCAGTCTGCTTTGCATTGTTGTAAGTCAGGAATAATTCTTTAAAACTAAATGTACTTACAGTTTAGAGAGATCAGAATCAGTTTCTTCAGTGCCTAGAGCTGAAACCCAGTTGTCTGATATAACCTATTTTGTAGCTAAAAGATGATTTTCCTAAGTCACAGTGTCAGAGAAGAGCTAAGCTATTATGTGATGATTTGATCTAATACCATATTCATTAGTTCTGGCTATTTAAAAGTCAGCTAAAATAACTTCTAAAATACCCCCTTGTTGAAAAACCTTTTCTCCCTTCTCTGTTTTTTTTCCCCTCACTGTATTTTATGTTGGTCAAACAAAAAAACATGCCTTAGAATTTTAGTGTGTTTTATAACACTGTCTGTCACTCTGTGTAATCAAGCCAGGTTTAGGAATAATTCCAGTTACCCTGCAAAAAATGTCACCCAATTTTTCTATTTTCACATAATAATAATTACTGAAATCTGGAAGTTCAGCTTTGCAGAAGAGGAAAACATCTATCATCTATGGCTATATGCAGAATTATCCAGGTTATTGTTTCAGATTTTGTGGAAAGAAAGGACATGCTTCTTATGCTTTCTCGTTAAGGTGAAGGAGAAGTATTTATTTCCTATGATATTTTTGTGCTTGGAATTCTAAGCCTGGGAAGTGCAGGGGAAAGGACAAGTTAAAAAACAGCAAAACAAAAAACCCCAAACCAACCAGCCCACCAAAACACACAAAAAAAGGACCATCAAAATAACCCAACGGAAAACCCATTCACTTAAACACGTTTGCCCAGTTTGGGTGGTGGTGATTGAATTTTAAGTGAATATGCTCTTCAATTCTTATTTCATTAGGGAATATAACATTTAAAATAAAATAGCAGAAATATAACTGGAAAATTGCTCTTAATTTTCATGATAGAAGCATATATCTTGTTGATGGGAGTAATTTCTTCTGAGAAAGTGCATCCAAAGTGCAAATGGACGATGTTCTCTGATCATGTCATGCTAATTTTCCAGTTTATCAGTCATTTCAGTTCCGAACTGGAGTGACAAGATGATATCACATTTGATCTTCATATGTATCATACAACCTTTCAGGTTTAGAAGTTCATATGAGCTGAAAACAGCTGTCGTTGCTTGGACGGTGTCGTGCCAACAGCAGTTTCGTAATAACATTCTTTTCTCTTCTGCTTGTCGTAGGATGAAGTGGCCCAGCCTCTGAACCTTTCAGCCAAACCCAAGACATCTGATGGCAAGTCTCCCACATCACCCACCTCTCCTCATATGCCAACTCTGAGAATAAATAGTGGGGCCAGTTCGCTAAAGTCCTCTGTGCCAGCAACGTTAGCTAGTCCTTCGGCCAGAGCTAACACAATAGGTAAGCTCAGCCTTGTCTGTCCCTCCTCATAACGATTCATAGGTGTAAATGGGAAGTGGGCATTTATCAGGCAGTGCCAGGCAGTGGTCTAGGAGCTGTCATAGGTTGACCATTACACTCTGTTTTCTTGATGTCAGCGAAGAAACTCAGAGAGAGTTACCTTTCAGGAGGGGTATCTGAGCTTTTACAGGCTCAGAAAACAAAGACCTGTATTATTTCAGATACTGCTTTACCAATAAAAGTTAATAAATGCTGTTTGTTTAATGGCATGCATTAAGGACAGTGACTTGTCTAATGGTGGGCGTTAAAGACGCGTGATATTATACTGTGTCCTCTAAAAGCAATGGATAAACTTTCAAAAATATCCTTAAAAGTTATATCTTCCCAAAATTACAGGTTTAATCCTTAGTCTGCTCAAAAGCTGCATGGAATATTATTTTACCTTGGTGTAATAAGCAAAACAATTACCAGGTTCATTTTAAAAAATCCAAATTTAATGTTGTATCTTGCAAAAAGTCTTGACTGGCTGTTTTAAATATTGTTCCAGAAAACAGTGGTATTTCTTACTCCTGCTAAAATTACATTTCTGCCCAAAGACCATCTAAATAGTAACAATGCTAGTGGTGATTTTACACATCTGATATGTTAAAGGGACTGCTCTTTGTGTATATAAGAAAAATGTGTCCACCCCCCATTCTTCATCCTTGTAAATGAAAAAATTTATTCCGTGAAGTGATGGAGTACAACCTGAATTAAGATTTCAGTACGTAAATCAGCCTCTGTTTTGGGAATTAAAGGAGGTAGATGTACCTTTTCTGTGTTTCTTCTAAAGCATCTCCTGCTGGCCACTTTCAGGGATGGCACAAAAAACCCAAAAGAAGCCATAGGTCAAACTTATCAGAAGCTGTTTCTGTGATACAGCAGTGCTATGCAGTAAACTTTATTTGGTATGACGCATTACGACTGTGGAAATATTTTTAAAATATGACATTACTAATTGTTAACACCTCTTTTTTTATTAACCCTGCACTCTTTAACTGTGGTAGGTAGTAATGCATTTCATCTTTAATTTGCTTGACCCTGCTGCTCTCCATGCACAGTGCATTTGGGTTTCAATTTTTTCACATTAGATTTCTTGTCCTTAAGTAGAGCGAACATCACATTTAGATGGGGAGTTAAGCATCTGACCCACATCTCAGTGGCAAGACATCTCTTGTTCTCTCCTCTCCAATCTTCTTTCCCTACACACCTGATATTTTTCATAGGTTTGAGACCCCTGCAATTTACTTCTTTTAACAAGATGCAGATTTTGAAATGCTGTACCTGTAATGAGTGATAATGTAATTGGATAAAAGCTGTGAGGATGAACAGAGCTTTAAAGGTCACTCTTGTAAGAAGAATTAATGTGTTATACCATTAATAAACCATGGAAAACTGTGGAGCAAAAGATAACATACTTAAGTTATTGTTAATGACATAGAGTTCACTGCTGTATATCTCTCAGCTACAAATATAGAAAGTGACTTTTTGAGGTTGCTGTGCAGTATCACTGTGCATGCTGTATATATAAGATAAGCTGTCTTTAACTGGTGCAGGAGCTGGACAGACATAATGTACTTCTAACAAAGGTTTATTCTTTAATGTAGGACTAGAAGAAGAAAAGGCTCTTGAAGACCCTACGGAGTCTTCTCCTTCTAACTGCTAGGTCAGATCCAACCAAAGTTAAACAAGTTGAACTCGTTACTGTAATGAAACCGTTTGATGACCTTGAAGTGAGCGTGAAATTTTAAGTCACCCTCCAGCAGGAGCTACACCACAAAAAAAACTTGATAGCATTTTTAGCAAAGGTACTAAGGTCCCTAAAATGGTAGAGAAACTGGATCACATTCTTATCTTGAGCGATAAAGTCCCTCTACAAAAATTCGCTGGGAAACACTCAAGTCCTTTGCCAGACAGTTGCCTTCACCATTTGAATGATTGGAGCTGTCAACACAAGGCACAAGTTGTCTGTCCTAGGTGTGCACAGCCCACCTTGCTGGGATGCAGTTGAGCCATCACTTTTCACCACCAGTAACTTCAAATTAGAACTGTTCTCCGAAATCAGTCCTTTCAGGCCACTCAGCTCCCATGGCGTGGAGAAACGCTCGGGCATTGTTCAGCTCTCTTTGAGGGATGTAAACTTGGAGCCTCAGTGATTAACAGCATAGCTGCACTCGGGCATACGGATACACAGCCCTTTCCAGAGCTATCCTTATAGCATATAAATTGTGCTACAGACTGAGCAGTCACAAATGTCATGGCTTCATGTATGACTTTAAATCCAAGCATTTCTTTTTGGGAACAGGCATATGTCCGTGTACTAAAAACAGAAACAACTTCTCTCTGCTCTTTGCCATTATCTGCAACATCTCTGTGCTAGTTTGGCAATCCTTGTAACTAAGTGCATTTTATGTAATGCAGTTCCCCTCTCTGTCAATAATTCACCACCTACCCTAAACAACAATAATTTACATTCAAGTCGCTTCTATATTAATCATTTCCCTGCACACCAGCATCTTGGCAGCTACTGAAAAACATAAGGAGTGCTTGCTTTTATTCACTGTCATGTGCCAAACTGTCTCAAAGATAGCAGTATTCAAGAAAAGCCAAATAGTCTGGAGAAGGGCATGAATTCCAGTTCCTAGGCAAATTCGGCTCTATTGCACATTGAAAGTATTATACCTACTCTAATCAAGAGCACAACCAGCACTAATACTACTGTTTGTTTGCTTCCTTTTTAATTTATTCTGACTACATGCGAGGTTGATCAGTAACATATGCAAACTGGGGAAGAAACCAAGCAAGTTGATAAAATGGAGGTTTTAAAAAAAAAAAGAAAAGAAAAATCAGCTGGTCGCTCTGTGCTGGTGCAGGCTATAACCTTCCTTATGCCGGGAAAGCTGGAATTACTGGAATTCCATTGGCTGGGAATTACTGAACTGGGTCATTTGATAAAAGCAATGTGAATTGAGTTATTTCATATAAAACTCTCAGGGTTCCTGGGGATTTAGCCAAAAGCAAACTGTTAGTACAATTAACAGCAGTCAAACCGCACAGAAACTTTTCTTTCTAGTTTTTGCACTCCAAGGAAAATGGGAATACCAGTCCCATTCTGTCTGCAGTCTAAAAAAACAATAAAACCCCAAACCAAACTAAAATCCTGACAGCAGCACAGCACTGAACTAATCTGACATCAGCTTCTTCCCCTGAAATGTTTTAAGCAGCAAGACAATGTCCTACGTTTTTTGGCAATCAGTGGATCAGATAGAAGAGTCTAGCAATACAACAAGGATGTGTAATCTGACATGATTAGACAAGGCTCTTTAGGAACAGAACATTCATAATTGAGACAAAGAAAGAGTATTAATAACACTTTCCTAACACGGCAGTTAGCCATTTTATATTTCCTTTCTTTAATCTTAGTGTTTTTCAACAAATCATGGGATTTAATAGCGTGTTTTGGCAGATTAGAGGATTTATGGCCCAGATGTTTTTTGTTCTAAAAATGGATTAGGGTGTAAAGTTTGCTGGAATCCATGGAACATGTTGAGGCAAGCCGGTCATTTTGTGTGTGATTAGTGCCTGCCTTCTGTCTCACAGTCCCTCCATCTGTCACAATTCACCAATGGATCTGGTTAGATTTAGCCTCATGTCACAAACAGAAGTCCCTTTTCTGGGCAATTTCATATTACAGATTCATTTTATGCCGTTTTTATGCCCTAGTTAAAAGACAGAAAGAAGTGTGTGCGTGCGCACACGTGTGGGGATGTGGAGAGGGGGAGGGAGATTGATAGATATTAGCCTCTCCTTTAATGTTTGAAAAATAGACTGGGGCTTGGAGTCTCCCATCAGTATTCTATCCTACAAATCACATGCAGATCATAATAAGTATAATCTACAGTACGCTAAAGGAAAAAAATGACAAAGTGTCACATTTAAAATTAAATAGTATTAGCTGTGCCGGTGATGCTTGTAACATTTTAAAAGGAAATAATTCAGTGACTACTAAGGCTAAGCCCTAGGCTGTGAATTTGCAGCAAAACAGTGGACATTTGACCTACTATTAGCAGCATGAATAGGAGTGGGAATGTAGGTCCGTGTAGCTGTGGTTTCTTATACATTTGTGAATGACAGGTGGTGGTGGGGAGCATTCAGTGGATGAGGTTTCTCTTTCCAGCCATTATGCATTTCATATCTATAGCAAACCACCGCCACCTGTGGTTTATTTTAATGTATTCACAAGTTTTAAGAAGGGGAAGAATGAAATGGTCTATTTTTAAGAGTTTGGGATTGCTGGCATGATCAAAGCTTCCCCTAACTCTCATCCGGTTACATCCTGCTGCATACAAACCACAGGGCTAACCTCTGCAGTGTCAGGGAAATATTGAAACTAATGGGATCAAATAGCAGGAAGGATGATTTTGGCACCGAGGTTTCTCATTCTTTCTATCCAGGTGGCTCTATCATAACAACAACAGAATTACAAAGCATGGAACGAGTTTCTGGGCCTTGCTTTTTAAGTCTTTCTCATTAATAACGATAAACCGTGCGTTTTATCGATGAAAGCTAAAGTGTTTTCTTGTAACTTTCTTTTTTTAAGACATCCTTTCTTCTATCACGTCGTCAGGTTATTTAAATGACCACGATGCTGTTACCAAGGCGATCCAGGAGGCCCGACAGATGAAGGAGCAACTTCGGAGGGAGCAGCAGGTGCTGGATGGGAAGGTGGCCGTTGTGAACAGCCTGGGTCTCAACAACTGCAGGACAGAAAAGGTGAGTTTCTGAGACTCCCTTTGCAAAGGGTCAGAGATTGCATTTGGCTCTCCCTACAGATACCTTGGTTCTTCCTCCTTTCCTTTCCTCCTTTTTCTTGCTCTATTTTTCCTTCCCCACTTTTAAACAGAATAGTTCAAAAAGAAGTGAAAAGCAAAATGAAAACCACAACCAAAAGATGACATGAGAGAGAGATGTGGAGACCCCTGGGGGAGAGTGGGGAGGAGGCAGAGAGAGTTAAAGCCCTCACAAAAACTTTGGAGGCCACTAATTCTCTGTTCCAGCCTGTCAGCGTGTATTAAGAGAAGGTGATCTTGGAAATCTCTGGGTCTAAGTGGAAATCTTGCATTATGGAAATGCTTACATGTGTTTGTGAGATGAGCTGGATTTGAAATATTCAAGCTTCTTTAGGAGCATAAGCTTTGCTGATACTCAGGCTCAGCTTCTGGGTATTTAGCCTTGTGAGGTTGTCATATATGATATTTTGTGACCACTGCAATGTAGCACTGTCATGTCACGTTAGATGACTTAACAAAATTGAAAAAGCAGAGAATTGACAACACGAACTGCACCAAATATTTTCAGTGAAACTTAGAGGCAGCAGAACGTATGGACCTTACCACCTTCTGCTTTTGGACTGGCCTGTGAAGCTGCATTATGACAAAATAACAACAAAGTGAATATTCTCCAGAAAACTTTGTATGTGCTGTAACTGTCCTGTATGTCAGTGAGGTTGTGATTTGCTGCTTTTCTCTGGAAATATCTGATGTCTTTCCATGCACTGCCCTGGCTTATGGAGGATAAATAGACCTGCCAGTCCTTGCTGCCACATTTATAGTGAACTGTCCTTATAATTCTGCCACCTAAGATATACATCCAAATGCTTGCGTGCATCTCAGCATCATATGCTTAGCAGGACTCGTTCCTCAGTTCCTCTCTTCTGCTTCAGTATTTTCTGGGGTGATACATTCATCCTTGAGCAGTACAACAAGGATCTCCATTGTCACATTTGGTGTCAACTGCATTTTTTTGAAACCACTTTGACTGGCTTTGCACTCTAAGGTCTTGTGCGATTCACTGAGGTAGGCAGAAAAATAGATGGAATAAAAATGATCAGCTATTTAGCAGAAACTTGAAATTCAGTCATCCTAGGAAGCTTGTGAGTCAAACAATATTGTCCAGAATGAGCAGATTGGTAATTTGGATAGCTTTCCATTTTCCCTGTTTTTAGATGGAGTTTGATCAATAAGCTGTGAGGAGCCAGCAGCCTGGGTAATGAATGTTAAACGTACATGTGAGTCTCTCACCACTGTACTTTTTTCATCAGCCCGTCCTGAGTGTAAGTGATGTAGAAATGACTCCAATTTCATGCACTTTCTTGGGAGGAAGGGGAAGGAAAAAAGAGGTCAGGGTAATAGGTATCTTCTTAGAAGAATAAGAGTGCTGGTATGGGGAGAGGGAAAGAAAGAGAGGGATGGAGCTTGTTTATGGCATTTCACATAGAAGAGTACCAGAAGGGAAAAGGGAAAAGCAGAGTGTCAGATATAAGAAGAAGTGATCACAAGCACAAAGGAATTTATATTCAAATATTTAAGCATTCTTGAAAGGATGCTCGGAGCAGAAATTCCTTTTCTCTGCTCCCCATGTAGAAATGACTTTAACACTCAGCCAGATGCTAATGCAAAGTGACTCAAGCTATTCCTCGCAAGCATAGCTAAATTGCCGTTATTTGTTAAGCGCATTGAATTCAGCTGTGGATACAGCAGTTGGTTGCATTCAGAAAGCATCTGTACCCTTTTTTTTTTCTTTTTCTTTTTTTTTTCTTTTTTTTTTTTTTTTTTAATCCTCCAAAGCAGAGACAACTCTACCTATCTCCCCCCTCTCCTCCCTTGTGCTGGCTGGGAATTGTCAAGTGACAACCGACCAAATCCTTTTGGACAGGAAGCCTTCATCCTGAGTTCTATATACTTGCAAAGCAGGCCTTGTGGTTGGATCAGGAAGCCCATTAAAAGCACTTTGATGGTATGGAAATTCATCTTCATGAAGCACCCAGGCCCCTAAGCAGCATGCTGTTTAGCTGTGGTTACAGATCAGTCATTCACATCGGAGGGCAGTAATTGTGCTGACGGCTTGTTCGGCAATGGAAGCACATAAAATAATCCCAGGCCCTCCACCATGGCATTGCGAGTTAATCTTCTTTAATACAGATCAGCTGTTGTTCTAACACATGACTTTATGCTGGCTCTAGTGACTCTGCACAGCCTTTTGATTAAGTAACAGGAGTGGAACCATCTGCATTCACTTTATTCCGTTACTTTCCTATTCTTGGGATCCTCCTTAGCCTTCTGTTTTCACTTCTCACCCTCAACCCCAGTTGAAGTTTATTTTCCTCTCTAATTCATGCCTCCTGGTGGGCTCGTGGAGGGCAGAGACGAGTTCTTTTAGAAGGTAGCAGGAAGAAAAAATTGTTTGCTCAATTAAAAATTTTTCTAAAGCAACTGTATTCTTTGTGTGTTTTGATAAAATTAATGTCAAAACTTTATTGGGGCTCACTGATTTGGACTTGGTGATCTCGGAGGTCTTTTCCAACTGAATTGATTCTGTGATTCCATGATTAATTTTATTCAATTTTCTTTAATTTTCTCTATTTTAAGGTGAAGATGGGAAAGGACAGAGCCAAGTCTGAGCCCTGCTAGACTATAATGGCGTTTAAGTTGCTGAGGTGACCACTTAAGCCACTAAGTACTTTTTAACTTGTAGGGTCTTCTGATCTGTCTCTTGCATTTGACTCCATAGAGGAAGGACATAGGCTGTAAAGTTTAGATACTTGTTCTCCTTCCTCTTTTATGCTCTAGGCTCTCCACTGACTAGCCAACTCTGAAGTTCAGATCCAGACAAACACACCAACTTCTCTGAAGTTTGTGTCTGTTTGATATAGGACTTCTTTTGAATTAAATTTTATTCTGGTTTTCCTTGTTTTCAAAGGAAGAAAATGAGATAGTTGGGAAGGTGATTTCTGAGAAATAGAGCTGCAGTGTTAGCACTGAAGGTTTCCCTTTCAGAAGCTCAAGCTCCTACCATGAGACTTGCAGGCAACCCCCTGACCTTTTGGGACATCACGTTTCTTGCTGATCACTTCCTGACTGGGAGATTTTGAGATGGGGGATGGAATTAAAAATTGTATATATGTGTTCATGGGCACAATGTAGAAATTTACATTCAGCCTGTAGTTACAGACAGAGGAAAGACTCTCCTTCCTATAGAGTGACCTTAGTCTTTAAAGGCAACAAACCCACCTGGGACGATCCCAAAATTTTCTCCCTTCTTTGTGGAAGCAGCTACTGTATTTTTGGATTTTTCTGAGACCTCTTGAGCTTTTTGTTGCATGCTACTACAGCCTACCAGTGGAGGTGGGCTCTGTGCAGTTCTTAACAGGAAGGTATGTGGTAGGGATTGGTAGGGATTTTTATGCCAGGGGTAACTGGGCAGGTTTGAGGCTGCAAATCACCTCTGCGAGTCTCTGTTAAAGCTCTTGGGGCTTTTCATTCACATGTACATGACCTATTATCTTGCTTGTGTTCCCAGATGGGTTGATCTCCATGGACAACCAGACATGCCAGCTAAGGCAGTAGTCAGACAGGAATTTTGTGGAATTATAGTGAAACTGTATAAAAGGAGTCATAAACAAGAGAGATTTTTTTAAATGGCTAAGATGATTTGGGTGAGTCACTTTATGGGCATCCAACTTGGACCATCTTGACAGATTTGATTTTCAGAGGATTACAGTAAAAACTATGAGCATCACGATGAACATGGATTTTAGTAAAACCTATTTTAATTGCAAATGCAATAAAACATATTTTTACATTACTTTTCTTGGAAACATTTTGGTGTATAAATGAGACGTGTGTGTGTATATGTTTTTCTGGTTTCTTGGAAACCCGGGAGCATAGTTTTATTTGTAATTGTCATCTACAGTTAATTATAGCTTGATATATACTATACATAAACAATGTTACCTATTATACATGTAGCTTAGAGTGCAGGTTGTCAGCTGGTGTAAACAGCACAACAGGCAGCGTCAGCAAGTGATCTCTGGCCTATCTGTTCAGCCCCAAAGCTGCCTGTTCCTCTGCAAAGGAGTTGTACACAAACACAAAGAGCCAGCATGTGTGTGCATGCATCCAAGCCTACAGTGCACTCTTTCAGGGATGCACAACACAAACATGCACTGCGCTAGCCAGTAATTCTCTGACTGCAGTCAGACTCTCAGGCACTCGTGTATGTGCCCTGGTAACTGCAAAAGGAGGAAGGGGGCACACAAGGCAGGTACTTGAGTGTGTGTCAGTGTATAGACTGGTACAAAAACAGGTCCTGGTTTCTGAATGCTGGCGCCTGCTGCTGAGGGTGCTGCCGGCTCAGGCAGCTGTGTATGGACACAGCCACACAAGAGTTTCAGATGTGCAGGGGTGCAGTCGCCCTCTGAGCTGAGTACATCCCATTACCCACACCTCCTGTGCTAAGTGTTTCTTAACCTGTGATACGACTTCTCCCTGTTACAGCTTGGAGTGTGTCCTTTTAAAAGGCTCTGACATGTACTTGTCTGCTGGTCTGTAACTAAAGAGCTATTTGTAACAATATTTATTCCAGCATCGTAAGCAGGAGCCTATTTATTACTCATGCTTATGGAACACTGGGTTCAGGATGTCTTCCCTCCCATTCCCACTCACCCCTCCTCCCACCATCCTCCCCAGTCCCACCCTCAACTCTCCCTCTTCCCCTTAAGAGAGTGCCAAACATGAAATGACAGTGACCAATGTTGACTTAATGTGGATGTTTAATAATGAAAAAAGTGTGTCAGTTCCAGCGTTAGTTACAAATGGCAGTAAGTATATCGGGTGGCAGCCCTGTAATAATTTTACATCCATCATTCCTTCCTGATGCCTCACTGGCTGCCTGATGGATGGGGATAGCAGAGTTAACTCTTAAGAAACTGCTGT